GGGGTATGTCGTCTCCTCTGATGGTGGGCAGCCTGGTATGCGTGGGGTGGCAGCTGCTGCTGAGGCCACACCCGCCATTGACTGGGCATGGTCGAGTGTGCAGAGCTGATTCCGCGAGCTCCCCAGCTCCCATAGCCAGGCAGCGCGTTGCAACCTCACTTGTGAATCTGCCCATTCGGGCAGAATCCCAGCAGCCGACCCATGCCGATGTTGTGAGGCCATATTGCATGAAGAGCAGCAGGCTGCGCTGAGGCAGCGGGATGGCGCCCAACAGAGCGCGCCGTCCAACTCGGTGGAGGGGGCAGTCTTTCCTTGCGAAGGCGCTGTCAGCCACGGCAGTGGCGACGGCCATCATGCGAGGTGCTGGGCGACGGCAGCGGCGGCGCCGCTGCAGGCGGGGGCGCCAGGCAGGGGCCGAGGGGGGTTGTGGGGACCATGGCCGGCTCCAGGGCCGCTGGGCTGGGGGAGGAGGCAGTGTTGGGCAGCTTGGTGGTGGGATGCCGCGCTGCATCTGTGAGGGAGGTGAGGCTGACACGCCACAGCTCATGACCCTGAAACCAGGGCGATCATGGTCCCGCAGGCGGAGGGCGGCCTCACCACCGCGCACCAATTGGCAGGCCAAGTCTGGGCAGCCGAGGCCGTACCGCGTTTTCTGCAGCTGTGCGGGCAGCCTGTGCGGAGAGGTGTCAAACGGCTGCGATGTCCCTCCACGCATCCCTGGTTCAAGCCCAGCCTGTCGTTTCTGTTGAACGTTTTTTCGCTCCACCATTTGGGTCGGCCGCGGCCGCGGCTCAGGTGGATGCGTCAACTGCACCCCACGCGACGTGCGCAGTTCAGGGGTCTGCGGCAAGGCTGGCGTTGAGGCGCAGTTACCGCCAGATCTGGGAGGCTGGCGGGCGGTGGTGGGCGTAGCTGCTGCCCTCACTGTGGCTGCCTGATGTTCTGCTGCGCCCGGAGCACAGAATGAAGCCGCGCGCCTCACTGTCACCGCCCTGAGCGCGGGACCCCCCGCCCTGCAGACATGCCAGCCGCTGCTCCGTGCCCCGCAGCCGTGCAACATCTTTTTACAGGGCGGTGCAGGCACAGTCACGCGCCAGCGTTGCGAAGGCCACCCGCCCCTCCTCTCCGGTCCTGTTTGCGCGGCTCCAGGCCCCGCGCCGCCGCCGCCAGCCGGCTGACCTCCGTTCGCAGCCGCCGCTCCTTGTCGCACCGCGCCGCGTCCGCCACGCGCGGCCGCTGGACCTCGGCCGCCCCGGCCGCCAATGCAGCGTCCGGCTCATGAGCGAGCGCCGCGCCCGGTTACAATTGCTGCGCCCGTGTGCCTCCCCTCCAACCGCTGCACCTCCAGGTGCAGGCGCTGGGCGGCAGCCGCTAGGGCGGCGCTGCGGCCGTGCTCCGCCACTGCCGCCGTCTCCTCCTGTACCGTCTGAAAGTCACAAAAGATGAGCAGGGCAAAAATGAGCAGGGCTCTTTGGTTGGTGGCAAGCCCTTGGTGGCAGCCGTAAAGCTTTGAGCTGGCTCATCACCTCAGTGACGATGACACTCTGACGTGGTTGTTTTGTGTGTGGTGATTAGGTGTGTGCGTCCACACATGCGCGCTCTTTGGGCTGGCATACCTGCGCTCCAGCCGTGCTGCACCACAGTGCAGCCACTGCAAGCTCCACAAGCCACCAAGATCCACGTCAACAGCCTCCCCCTTGAGCCCCAAGCCCCAATAATCTCGCAGTCCTCGCTCTCACCTTCATACTGTTCCCAGCCTCCTGCATCCCCTCAGGCGCCAGCAGCGTGAACAGCAACGCCCCCCACACCGCGCGCTCCGCCCTCTGCACATGCACAGGGGCGCCCGCCCCCTTGACTGCGCCAGCGTCAGGCAAGCAGCAGGGGCGGGATGCAGCAGCGCGGCCACCAGCTGCCGCATGTCCCGCGGCAGGGGCTCCCGCGGGGAGGGGGGCGCGCAGTGGTACCCCCGCGTTGCCCTCATCAAGTACCCACTGTGATCCTGCTGCTGCGCGGGGCAGACGGCCCTCTCGGCGCCCTCATCAAGGATGACGGCGTCCGGCTCAAAAGGGTAGCGTGTTTGCATGTGTGTGTGCATGCGTTGTGGTTGTCAACTACTTCCACAGTGCCGTGGATCAGCTCCCAGTATGCGCAAGTCTATCGCACAACAGCCGGGCGGGTGGCGGTTCAAGATGGGCCGCCCCCGCCTCCAAGGTTCAGCGAGAATCGTGTGAGCCTCTACCGCCGTGCATACTACTGTAACCAAACCCACCTTGAAAAATGCGCTCAAGGTACTTGGGGCAGCAGGGTCGCCAGGGATGACGGCCCAGCGGTGACTCGGTGTCATGCGTCGCATGGACGCGCTGGAGGGTGTAGGTAGCCAGGTGCTGCTGGGCCCAGCACCGTCGGCGTTCCTCGCACCCACCCAATCCGTAGCTGCCTGCTGGCGCTTACGCTTGCCTGCACACTCATGTGCGCCAATAGTTTGGTTTGTTGCCCTTGCTTCCAGTAGATAAACATGCAACATGGCACTGCACCCATCTGCGACCTCATTCCGATACCGCACAGGGTGTCACATGCGTCCCAGGCGACACCCCCGAACCCCCGTCGTAGCGGCATCACAGCCACCAAAACCCGATCAACATACGTTTACTGTTGCCCTGACTGGAAGGCTCAGGCACTCCGTTCGCATTTTTGAGCAATACACACACTGCGCTTGTTCATCTCAGGGATTAGTTAGGCCATGACTAAGGCAGTGGCCTACGCGCATCATGCACGATGGAACCCTGCGCCAGGGGCATCGTGAATGTGACCTGCAAGGTCCTGCGTGTGTTCCTCTGGGCTGGCCCGCCCATGTTCGCACGCTGATCAGTAAAGCCACGATCTCAACACGAGGCAGGACCCTTGACTGGTAGTGTGACCACCTCCGCTCACGGTGACTTTGCACGCAAAGTGATCGGGAATGAAAGCACCCCAACTACCGGTGGAGTCGTGGTCGGCCGTCACACACCCAGCCACCGTCTCACCGGGGGCAGTGGCAAGTGCGCGGCAAGGGTGGACAACAAACACAATCTTCGTTGCCACTTGCATATCTCACTTCTTTTTGCGGCCAACAGTTTTGTTGGCGCAAACCATCGACGCCCGAGTCTCGTTTTTTTTCTCGTGGACGTCGCTGGGCCCAGCATGCGGTGCATACGGAGATCGCTCATGCCTTTGGCGGGTACACTGCTGCTTCTCCACATGCTGGGAGCGGTCGTATGTGCCAGGTGCGCATGCAGGGATGGGTGTGGGCCGGGGTTGTTCAGTTCAAGGCCCTGATCGAAGCGAGTGCCAGGACATGTATGGCGCACAAGCATGAATGCAGAAGTGGGGGGAACAGTTACTGCCGTGCACCAACAGGTTCCACCCTCGGCACATGGAAGTAACCCCCATCAGCCTGACAATTGATGACACCATGTCACCGCGAGCTAATTGCCGCCACCCCAGCTGATACGTCTACAACCCGTGCATCTGCACGCCTCTTCTTTAGCTGTCTGTACGCACAACACCATTCATGCTGACCCACGCACTGCCACTCCTCCCACGCTACCTCGTGGCATCCCCTGCAGCCCCCAGGCGACCCCCAAGAAGCAGAAGCTGGCGGTGGTGAGTGCCGCCTGCGTGCTGGGCACGGCCTGGGTGCACCAGCTGGCCGCGTACTTAGCCTTAGCATGGTGGCTATGCATGTAGGCATGTTGCCTTGAGACATTGTGAAAATGCCCGCCTGCCCCACCGCGCTGTGTGTCTGCATTGCGTGAAGCCAGCATCCCGTGTTGCTGGCCTGCAACCTGCTCTTGTTGCACAACCCCATACAGTGTGCGCCTGTCAAGGCTTTGGTCAAGTCATGCACGTCCAAGGCCGGCCCGACTGCCCTCATGGACCAGCTGTGCAGCGAGCTGCTGGCACCCGCCAACGCTACGGCCGACAGCAAGGTGCGTGCCCTCACACGCACGCACGCACGGACACAAATGCACGCACGCACACATATACACAGAGAACAACGCATGCGCATGAAAACTCTTGTGCACGGGCAGGTGTCTGGTGTGTGCAGGTGGGGCAGCAAACAGATGTGACGATACGGTGGTTACTTGTGGGGTGGTTCGTGGGTGAGGGCAACTGCAGCTTCTCCAGCACCACGTGTTCGGCCACGTGTTCGGCCAACATGTGGCAAGGTGCCCAATCACCAGTCTGGTGGCTCTTCGCTTAAAACAACCGGCACATCTCCATTCCCGCAGGACCCCACCAAGCTGCGCTACGGCTGTGGTGTGGCGACCGCCGCACAAGTCAACAAGGTGTCCAGTGACTTGGCAGCTCTCGAGCCCAAGGTCACCGCCGCCGCCGCCCAGGCCAACTCCCTGCAGGCCACCTTTGTCCAGGGAAGCAACCAGACAGCGGCGCTGCGCGCCCAGGTGGACGAACTCAAAGCGACGATTGCAGCGCTCACCGCCGGCGTGCAAAAGCTGCAGGCAAATGCGGCCAACGCCACCAACCTGGGCCCCATCACTGAGGAGCTCGCCGCTCTTGCAGCGGCCGACACACGCACCGCCCAGAAGCTGGCCCTGCTGGAGGCGGCAAACCAGACCGCGGCCCAGGATATTGCGGCGCTCAAGTCAACTTCGCAGCAGTGCGCCTGCGGCTCTGAGCTGTCGGCTGTCAACACCTCCCTGGCCGCCATCCAGTCGGTCCAGGCGGCGAATGCTGCGGCTGTCTCCCTGGCCAACACCACCGTGGAGTCCCTGAAGGCCACAGTCACCACAGGCGCGGCAGCCATTGCGTCGGTCAACACCAGCCTCGCCACCCTGGCAGCCACCGTGGCCAACGTGTCTGCCATTGACTTGAGTGTCTACGCGAAAACTGCGGACCTGGCCAGCCTCAACGCAGTCAGCCTGGGGGGCGTGCCTGCCGCACAGTACCTGCGCTCGCGGGTGGTGATCTACGTTGAATCTTCGACAACCAGGGGTGGATCCCTAGCTGGCCGGTCTGGTGCGGACGCCTTGTGCAGCGCCTCCATCAACCGGCCGACGGGGCTCACCCAGGTGCACGCATTCCTATCGACATCTGCGAGCGACCAGATTGCTGATTTTACCACAAAGTATGGTGTCCCCAACGGCCTGGCAATCGAGTCGCCCAGCGGCGCCGTTTTGGCCAGGAACTTCACAAGCATGCTGGGAGGCAGCATCCTGCAATCCTTCAAGGTTGCGGGCATTATTCCATCAGCTTCTTCGGCTTCTGTGTGGACTGGCAGCCAATCAAACGGAGCTGTTGCTAGCAACAGCTGCGATGGATTCACCGCCGGTTTTACCACGGGAGTCATCGGGTCTCCCAGCGTTACCGATAGCGCATGGATCGCAGTTTCTGGATCTACGCCTTGCAACACCAACCACTTCCTTACATGCATCGCTTACTAGGCTGTAAGCAAGGCCATTGCCATGTTTCAGGAATCACGCAGCTCCGCGCTCCGTGATGCAAGGCGGCAGCCTGCTGAGATAAGGCCGGCCTTGCCTAGAGGGGACTGCCCAGGAGAGGAGTCAACCAGGTGCCGAGGAACGGGATTGCCAGAGTGTTACAGAGTTTGCCTGAATGCCAAGAGTAACAAGAATAATCGGAGCAGGAACAAGAACAGACTTAAGTAGGTCCAAGCGTGGTAGGTAACCGAGGTGACGCGGCGTACGCCTCAATTCCTACTCCCACACGCGCAGGCCAGGTGTAAACCCGCCGCGCGCGTACGGACAGCAAGGCGCTGACCGCCAGACGGCATGCGAGCATGCAAGGCAACAGTCAAGTGCAGTAAAGCAGTGTTAGCAGCCTTGCACGTGACAATCATGCGCAGCCAGGACTGATCTGCACACGCCTACCTGCACACCTGCCTCTTGGGCTTCACCCTTGTTGCAAAAGGCCACAGCAGATCATCTTGATGCCTCCTCGCCCCATTGATTTTGTTCGTGTGGCTCTCTCCCGAGCCCGGGCATATCACCTGCGTGCCTCGTCAAATGGCAGGTTGCCACACATGCGCACGCCTGGCACCCGCTGCACACCCGGCGACGCCTGCTGCGTACGTGCGCCCAATAGCGTCGCTCGAAACGACGGCTAATTCAACTTATCGAAGTTTGTAAGCATCGGGATGCGGCCCCTGGAATTTTCTGGGGCCTGGCTGCGCCGCGCAGCAACCAGGAGTTGTTCAGATGGCGCCGCTAGCAGTGTGGGGTTGCTGGCTACAGGTGGCCGCATCGTCAAATCTTTATTCTTTCCCGGATACCTCCACATCGACCAGCTCGGGAGCTCGGCTCGTGATGTTGAGTCTCGCGATCGCAGCAATGTATTCGACCGTTGCGTGCATGACCCTTTGCAACGGTCATCTTGGCTGCGACGCGACAAGCGTCCCAGAAGATTCGGACATCTCAAGCAGAGCAGGACCATTCTTGCTGCAGGGGGCCCGTACGCGTGAGCTTCAAAGTGATGCCGGTGAATATGTGAAATGGGCACTCAGCGCAGCCGCGCTGCTGGCAGACCGTTCGCCAGCCAAGGCAGCGCTTCACGTTTTGTCAGTGCTGATGTGATGCACGATACGGCAGCGGGCGGGCGTGCGTCAGCGGAGCAGCAAGGCGAACCACAGCTGCCGCCATGCCCTGGTCTTCGCGAGCATGGTGACACCACTCTATCCAGTCACGCGAGCTGCGCAGTGCACGTGCAAACGCGGCGTTGCGTCCCCATCTGGCAGCCCAGCAGGCACGCTCTGTGCCAGACTTTACGCGCGTCTTACCCGCTTTTTGTGGTTGTTGCTGGGACCACCGCTTTGTGGGCAATTCCGCAACCACTTGTTATGTTTGTTTAAGGATTTCAAGGGTGTTTGCACGCTTGCCTGATTTAGCTCTTTTATGGCCCATCAGGGTGTCAGTTGTGGACGGCAGTGGCGTGCGTGCGTCAGCAGAGAGAACGGTGTGTACTGTACGGCACACTAATCAGTGCCGCAGTTATTCCATTCTGCCTGGAGGCAAGGCCCGCCGCGCACATCCCCAGGAATATCTGCGACAATTCAAGGGTGCCGGACACTTGAGTTGAACACACCGTGCAGCAAAGGCCAGTGAGCTCTGGTGGCGCCGCTGGAGTCCGAATTGGTGTGTGACCCGCCGCTGAGCGCCTTTGGGCGGTTTGTTGGATGCAGCTGCGCTGTGCTGTCCCGTAGCTCAAGCTTAACGGGGCGCGCCGCACTGCAATAACACTGCCACGAAATGTTTTGGCTTCGCTCTCCACCACCGACTAGAAGGACGACGTCTTGGTTGGAGGAGTCGCGGAGTCGAGCGGAGCGGAGGACGGCGACGGCGGCGGCGCACGCGGCGTGGCAGGCGGCGGCGGCGAGCGCAAGAAGTACAAGCGGCGAACGAGCGCGCGCAAATACTGGGTGGACGAGGAAGACTATGACCTGCTGGAGGACAACCAGGTCAATGGTGAGTCGCGATGATGTCACGGCCCGTCACCGGCGAGCCCCCCCCCCCTTGCTGTTTTGTGTCTCGGCTGGCCGCTGCATTGGTGGTGCGGTTTGGGGCTGCAGCCTCGGGGGGACCTAGCAGAGGGTGCGTCCGGTCAGCCCTTGAATATGGACGCACTGAGCCTGGCGGCAGCCGCTGGCTTGGGGTGCTGCTGCAGACTGTGATTTGTTTTTGAGCTGCATGTGACTAATGAGGTCAACACGTGGGGTCAAAGTCGTACAAGGGCCAGGCAAGCCCCGCCACCTTGACCTACCGCTGTGGGCGTGCCGTCCTCCCCCGCTCCCATCCTCAACGCAGGTCCGCCCCCCGGCGCAGCGGATCAAGCGCGTGAAGGGGCGCGGCGACGAGCCGGGGCGCGCCATGGGGGCGCAGCAGCTCAAGGAGAGCCTCTTCGGCGCCGGGAGTGAGGGGCCGACAG